AGTTAAGTGTTTCAAAACAGAGGGAGGGTCAATCTTGTGGACTACCGCGGAGAATCAAGTAGGGTAAGAAATGGAATGTGATTTTTGGATTTGGCAACCTCGGAGTGCTTGGTACTTTTGAGAAGAGAATTTCAGTGAAATGATGGAGCCAGATCCCCCCCAGGGGGATTGAGAAAACAGTAGAAGGTGAGCATGTGTGAGTCATGTAAGAAGAGGGTTTCTGTCTTTCAAGGAATATCCACTCAAATGTTTACAAGACATTCTTTACATTACTTTTATTTCATACGATGCACTGAAGCTACCAGCAGACAGCATAAAAACTGCCTTTTTCTGAGCAATGAAAAACCTAAAATATGCTATTGTGAGAATGAAAGGTTTCACTGCATCTGCACCTTCAGCCGTGAATGGAGTAATCTATGGGGGATCATCACTATCACTATCTTGCTTTTTATATTAGTTCAGGTAGAGCTGTATTATTTCTGTTTTCCTCCCCTAGGTTATAATGAGCATCAACTTCTTTTAGGGTTCTTGGGACCTACACCTTAGCTTTTTGGCCAGGAAAGAACAAAAGCTTTTTCTCCCCATGTTTCCAGGCTTTCCCACTCATTCCCAAACTAGGAATTACTCAGACAAGAAGACTCGTGACCTCCAAAAATGTTGAGTCATTGACTCTTCGGAACCACGAGTGACAAAGGGCTGTGACAGGGAGCAATTGCCCTTCTTCCTAACTGTTGGCATTAGTTTGAGATTTTGCCAGCCAATTCCCAGTTGCAATGATTCATAAAGTAACTTCCTAAATTCCATGCAGCAATTATAGGCTGGGGTCACAGATGCAGGAGGTGTGTGTGGCTGGGGTGGGGGTGGTAAAATCAACGGGAAGTGCTTGTATTGTCTAAATCCTTAGCAAATTGAGTGGGAGATGTATATGTATGCATGTATATAATTTTAATTTAAGTAGGGGGAAATATTTTGGAGACATTTGAGCAGATTAACAAATAGTATTTGTATACATGTAACTAAAACAGTAATTTATCAGGTAGAAGGCAGATGGGGGGAATAAAATGCCAACCTGTATATACAGTTGGGTTGTGCTGATGATGAAGTGCTGTTTATTCAGGGCCAGCCTAGCTTGTCAGCAACATAAGAGCCACTGCAGCACATGACTCCCTGCGTAGCTAGAAGACAATAATAAATTATCCCCTATGCAAACAGCACCGGCATAAAAGCAGATCAAACACACTCTGCCTCCTGGAATCCTGAAGATTCTCACTCATTCCCTCGTTTAATTCTGTTTTAAACATGAAACTCTTGACATTATTCCAAAGCCAGTAAGATCGAATCTGGCTTGGAGAGCTGACGAGAATCTGTTTTAGGGTTATTGTAAAATGGATTTTGTTTCTCTAACTTGCCTAGGTGATTCACATCGTTTTTAGATTTATCAGCACTTCATTTGGTCCTATGGAATTTGGGGTCACCTAGAGGAAAACTGAGCTAGAGCACTTGAGGGACATGATGAAAATACAGTCTCTGCAGTCATAAAAAAGATGAGCTCATGTCCTTTGCATGGATGAAGCTGGAAGCCACCATCCTCAGCAAACTAACACAGGAACAGAAAACCAAACACTGCGTATTCTCACTCATAAGTAGGAGTTGAACAATGAGAACACATGGACACAGGGAGGGGAACAGCACACACTGAGGCCTGTTGGGGGTTGCGGGGGCGAGGGGAAGGAACCTAGATGACGGGTCAATAGGTGCAGCAAACCACCATGGCACACATATACCTATGTAACGAACCTGCACATTCTGCACATATATCCCAGAACTTAAAGTAAAATACAATTTTAAAAATAAAATAAAATAAAAAATAAACAACCTATACCATCTGAATAAAAAAGAAAAAGAAAATATAGTCTTGATCCAGTGCCCAACCTGCTAAATGAGAACCTGTAGCAAATCGGCCCAGAAATGCACACCATAAGGGGACCTTTATGAGGAGGTTGCCTTAGGAACAAAGAACTGGCAGTGTGAGTCAGTACAAGTCCTGTGACAGTGCTGAGAGAGTCCAAAGGACTGGTTTGTAGGAAAATATATCAACTAATAAATGCCTCCAAAAATGTTGAGTCATTGACTCTTCGGAACCACGAGTGACAAAGGGCTGTGACAGGGAGCAATTGCCCTTCTTCCTAACTGTTGGCATTAGTTTGAGATTTTGCCAGCCAATTCCCAGTTGCAATGATTCATAAAGTAACTTCCTAAATTCCATGCAGCAATTATAGGCTATAGTGCTTTTCAGATTGCAGCGTGCATTCCAATTCCTAGGATTGCTGGAAAATGCAGATCCTGCTTCAGTAGGTCTAGGGTTTTGCCTGAGACTCTGCATTTCCAGCAAGATACCTGGTGTTGCCAGTGCTGCTGGACTTGAGTCCAGCGAGGTCCTAGAGCCATCAGTTTAACACAGAAGAATTAAAACAGTTTGCAGATCAGCCGGCATTTTTGAAAAGGAAACTTTCCACAAGTTTGGCTTTGAACAGTGTTGATTCTACTGATTCCTAATCTTATGCTCAGATACAAATAAAACCTGCCCCCTCTTGTTTCAGTAACCCAGCCAGGAGTGTAGTGAGAATTTTGTTATATGTAAAAATTTCTTAGAAATGTTGTAAAAATTTCTTAGAAATGTGTCTCTTCTTTCAAGGGTTTATAAATGTATTTGGAGGCCTTTATATACATAATGAAAAACATTTGGAAAGGAAAACTGTAAAGCTTACTGTGCTGAAGCCTTCAGTTACTGGAAATAAGATGCAGTTAGTTGTAGTCTCTTTTTATTTTTTTCAGGGCTGTATCTTTTTTTACAATTCATGGTGGCAACAAGTTTAGCACTGAGGTTCTTGATTCATCCTCAATGTTGATTTGAAGTAATTTTATCTGTTGAACACACATTGCATATGAGTTTTGATTATTTTTAAAAATCTCCTTCTAAATATTTAAAGTCTATTTCTATTGTGGATGAATTAACTTTTTTAACATCTACTTAAAGATTGTTATTATGCCATTTGGAAAATAAATAAAAAGCATGAAAGCTGACAGTACACACTTTGGAACACACACTTCCAAAAGCATATGTTCCAAACGCATATGACGTATTTGATCATAAATGTCATTACAATAGATCCTTTGATGTTCATCAGCATGAGAATAGATCCCGAGACCTTCGCGGATTCACATGTACAATTCCTTGCCACCAAAAAAGGGAAAGCAGCCTGGTAAGATGCCAGATGAGAGCGGCTGCCTCGGAGTAGACGGCAAAGCCTCCTCGAAACATGGAAGCCAGTGATGGGCAGGGCCTGCCTGCCTGCCTACCTAGGGTCTTGTGTGCCCTCTTCAGAGCCTCACAGACCTTGAGATTCAACTCAGCAGAATTACAGTATGGGTATGATGGCTATTTGAAGTGGCTGGTAAATAGTCTAAGCCACAAATACCCAATCCACGAGTTTCAAAGAACGACCAGATAGACGTTAATGTGGGCGTGGGGAAATCTGCAACTCTCTGCACTGCACCGTTCACTTCTTCACAGCGGCTGTCCTAGGAGATGTGTGTGGCACTTCCACTTTCTGTGGTGCACACTTCTGTGTTGTTTTAGCATCTTACCTGTGGTAGGCATAATTCTGATTGCTGTTATAATCAGAAAAAAATCAACAGAATTCTTTAAATCCCTTGAGTGCACATTGTGGTGTTTTTGTTGAGTGACACAATAGACTGTCAGTTGATGAATTATGTAGTATGATCATATATGTGCTAGGATAGATACGTATGTGGACTACGATAGAAGATTATGGATGATGGAGCACAGGTTGATTTTGTGTACCTGTCTCTCCAGTCGTCCAACAAACATTTCTTGAACAGCTAGTATATGCCAGGCGTTATGTTAGGGGCTAGCATATGTTCTTCACTGTACTTCTTTAAGGAAGAGAGACACCCATGCAGACAAAGTGGCTCTCATTGTAGTTAATAAAACTGGAAGACAGACCAGCTGCAGTGACTTACGCCTCTAAGCCCAGCACTTTGGGAGGACGAAGTGGGCGGATCAGTTGAGCCCAGGAGTTCGAGACCAGCCTGGGCAAAATGGCAAAAGCTCATGCCTACAAAAAATACAATAAATTAGCTGGGCATGGTGATGCACACCTGTAGTCCCAGCTACTCAGGAGGCTGAGGTGGGAGGATCGCTTGAGCCTGGGAGGCATAGGTGGCAGTGAGCCGAGATCACACCACAGCACTCCAGCCTGGGTGACAGTGTGAGACCCTGTCTCAAAAATAAACAAACATATACATACATACAGTAAATAAACTTGAAGCAGCCAGAGCACTTTTTGCAAATGATGTAAGCCACACCTGGGGATTCTGAGGTATTGGGATCCCTGTCTGTAATTATTCATTCCTCCACAGCTGCCACATAGAACAAGCAAATCTGACATCACAGCTCTTTCAAAAATCTCTCAGAATTCTACACTGGAATAAAGATCACCCAGTAAACTCAGCTATGTTCATTCATAGGAGTTTCTCCTTGGAGTTAATAATAATCATTAGAAAAAAATTACAGGAAGAAATAATAATTTCCTCCTATTCTTCTTGTGATAAATTGTAACAATAGCAGACATTCCTATATAGACCCTATCAGCGATAAGAGGGAAAATCGGATTTGCAAATTAAGTATATGAATAAATATATTAGAAAAAATGTTTAGGATATTTGTTCTTTGTCTAAACTATTCTTAATAATGGCAAAAACTCCTTTCTTACGTGGTTTGGGAAAACAAACAAGCAAAGTGTGTGTTAAGCCATAGCATGGAAGTTTCCATGCTTTCTCAAAGCAAACTGTATTTCACTTGCCTTAAATCACAAATGTCTGTCCTAAATACATCATAAGACTGGACAAATTTGTGGCACAACTCCTCACAGCTGGGAAGTTTGACATTAATATCAAATTTCCTGTTGTTGTTTCAGAATTGTCTGTTTCACAGCAATATTACCAGTGACTTGAAGGCATTTACAGACAAGTTTGGTTTTGATGTCCTCATCCTGTTCGCCAGCTATCTGTCAGAGGAGCAGCAGCCGAGACGACAGATTGCTGTGTACTCAGAAAACGTGGAGCTGTGCAGTCAGGTGAGCCCCTCCTCTGACCCCAGCATGTTTCCCTGTGTCCTAACCTGTGTCCTCTCAGAACACACAGTGCAAGACAGAACACATTGGTGGCTCATGAGCAATTAGCCCAAGAGATGGAGTCCTAGAGGTTTGAGTTTTAGGAAATGTTGGGGGTATTTTGTACATTTGGCCTTTTAAGAAAGCCCCAGAAGCATTTCTCGTCTTGACTGAATCCATGGTGCAAAACATTAGCTCTTTCTCACCCCCAAAAGAGCAAGTCCTCCTCTGGGGGCTGTTTTCTTCTAGGACTGCTCCCTAATCATAACTAACAAGGTTTAGCCCCTGTCCCAGGACCCATTTGATGCCCAGTGTTTAAGACCTGGTGATCTGATGCTTTAATCAAAGTTAGTCTGTCTCCAGGTACCAGAACTCTGACTAGGTAATCAATTATCCTCCAGGTTGATCGCTGAGTCTTTTAACCCAAGGCCTAGGAAATAAAAATAAAAATAAAAAAAGAATTAGATAAAATTAATCAATATAGGCCATTGGATATACCAAGCCAGGTGTACTTAATAACTAATATGAGAAATACATGATTCATTGTAACAGGAGCCACATGGCCCTGCATGCTTCATCACTCATTTTTCCTCACTAATGGATTCAATGCCTCATGAATCCACAGGTGGCTAGAGGCACAGTCTCTTCCCCTTTCTTTTCTACGTCCTCCTTTCTGTCCCCCAAGAGCTCCACTGTAGCTCTCTTGACACATGCCTCTGGGTACTCTCGGGCTCTCTCAAGTCCAAATGTGAGAGAGCATCTCCTCCTCTGACCTGCATCACCAGCCTATGGTTTTTTTCAACACTTTACTCTGCATTTGGTTTCAAAGGTAAATTTCATCTTTGGTCACTGGCTTCCCAGGGATGGGATTTAGGCTTGGAAGCCTACAATATGGCAGCTTTCAAATCACTTTTAGCAGTAGACCCCTTTTTCAAACCAATTTGAAAATTGGTTCATTGGAAAGACAAAAGTAGAAGAGCAGATGAAGGAGTTAAAAGCCCTTGAGCTGACCCCAGTCCTCTTCTCTTCTCCCCACTCACCCTCCCCACCCTAGCAACAGCCAGAGGTGGATCCCTGGAATCTTAAGCAACAGAGTCCTGGCTCTGGCCTAGCGAGTCTCTCTTTGCCTGTGTGGTCACACCACTGGCTGAGTCAGCCTTTGCAGCAGACTGCCTGGGTGTAGAACTCAGGCTCCAGCACTTGTTAGCTGTGTGTTGCTGGACAAGTTATTTAATCTTCCTGTGTCTTCATTTCTTCATGGGTAAAATGGAAATAAAAAGAGTTCCTACCTTGTGGAATTACTGTGATGATTAAAAGAGATAATGATCATAAAACCCTTAGAACCATGCCTGGCACATGAAAGCACTCAATAAATGTTAATTAGTAGTAGTAGTATCTATGTGAGCTCCATGGTGGTAGTGGTGGTGGTGATTACTATTATTATTATTAATTTTACCTCTAGTAATCCTGTGGGGCCATTTCAAAGGCCCAGGACAACAAAATACTCCTGACATTCCCTAAAAATCAGAAAGCCGCCACCCAGTTCTGGCCTCACACTGACTGTCAGTGTCCCCTTGCCTCCCAGGTTGGCTTTGTCTGTTTTGGGCTCCATGCTTCCGTTACCTGGGGTGAAAGGGTCCGAGGGGTCCTGAGTGCTGTTCAGAAAGGTCAGACCCTGGGAGCATCTGTCTTTCCTACTCTCTCTTTTGCATTCTGAAGCTATCAGACGTTCAAGCAGCCCTGGCTGCCCCTCCCAAACAAGAGCCTGTCTCCTGATATTTTCCCCTTATTCCAACACTTTTCCTATAGTTGTCAGCAACATGTGTTATCTCTGCTTTTTTTGCAACTCAAGTTACATTGCTGTTGGAAGATGGTATTATATTACAGTTAGGAAAGAAGTTAGATGGTTTAAACTCCTTTACCCAAAACGTTCAGGAGCCATCAAAATCGAGCACCTGGATTTTGAATTAAACAGAGAGACAGTTGGATAGAATTGGAGAAAAGGTTGGTGGTATAGTAATCAGAACTTTCCAAGTTTGAGATCTTCTTTTTCAGACAGATGAACACAGACTAATTTTATATTTAAAAAATTAAGGGGCCGGGCGCGGTGGCTCAAGCCTGTAATCCTAGCACTTTGGGAGGCCGAGACGGGCGGATCACGAGGTCAGGAGATCGAGACCATCCTGGCTAACACGGTGAAACCCCGTCTCTACTAAAAATACAAAAAATTAGCCGGGCGAGGTGGCGGGCGCCTGTAGTCCCAGCTACACGGGAGGCTGAGGCAGGAGAATGGCGTAAACCCAGGAGGCGGAGCTTGCAGTGAGCTGAGATCCGGCCACTGCACTCCAGCCCGGGCGACAGAGCGAGACTCCGTCTCAACAAAAAAAAAAAAAAAAAAAAAAAAATTAAGAGAGATAAATTGCAAAGCGCAGTTGCAAAGTGCAACAGTGCCTGAGTGCTGACACAAATTCCTGTGCCTTCTGACAGATTTGCTGTGAGCTAGAAGAGTGTCAGAACCCTTGCCTAGAACTGGAGCCCTTTGACTGTGGCTGTGATGAGATCCTGGTGTACCAACAAGAGGACCCTTCAGTGACTTGTGATCAGGTGGTTCTCGTTGTCAAGGAAGTCATCAACAGGAGGTGTCCAGAGATGGTCTCCAACAGCCGGACGTCCTCAACAGAAGCCGTGGCAGGCAGTGCCCCCCTCTCCCAGGGGTCTTCTGGGATTATGGAATTGTATGGTTCTGACGTAGAGCCACAGCCCAGCTCTGTGAATTTCATAGAGAACCCTCCAGATCTCAACGATTCTAACCAGGCTCAGGTGGATGCAAACGTAGACCTCGTTAGCCCAGACAGCGGACTGGCTACCATTAGGAGCAGCCGCTCATCCAAGGAGAGCTCTGTTTTCCTCAGTGATGATAGCCCCGTGGGAGAAGGTGCTGGGCCTCACCATACCCTCCTCCCAGGGCTTGACTCCTACAGCCCCATCCCTGAAGGGGCAGTTGCGGAGGAACACGCATGGTCTGGAGAACATGGTGAACACTTCGACCTCTTCAATTTTGACCCAGCACCCATGGCTTCTGGCCAGTCCCAGCAATCTTCTCATTCCGCAGACTACTCCCCAGCGGATGACTTCTTCCCCAACAGCGACCTGTCAGAAGGACAGCTCCCCGCTGGGCCTGAAGGACTTGATGGCATGGGAACCAACATGTCTAATTATTCATCCACTTCACTTTTGTCGGGGGCTGGCAAAGATAGCCTTGTGGAATATGATGAGGAGTTTGTCCAGAGACAAGAAAGTCCCAGAGATAACTCTGAAAGAAATTTGAGCCTGACAGATTTTGTGGGAGATGAATCCCCTTCCCCAGAAAGGCTAAAAAATATTGGAAAGAGGATCCCACCAACACCCATGAATAGTTTAGTAGAAAGCTCGCCATCCACGGAAGAACCAGCCTCACTTTATACAGAAGATATGACCCAAAAAGCCACTGACACAGGTCACATGGGGCCACCTCAGACCCATGCACGGTGCAGCAGCTGGTGGGGTGGTTTGGAAATTGACTCCAAAAATATTGCAGATGCGTGGAGTTCTAGTGAACGGGAATCTGTTTTCCAGAGCCCTGAATCGTGGAAAGAGCATAAGCCAAGCTCCATTGATAGGAGAGCCTCAGATTCTGTATTTCAGCCAAAGAGTCTCGAATTCACAAAGTCAGGTCCCTGGGAGTCTGAATTTGGTCAGCCTGAACTGGGTAGTAATGATATTCAAGACCAAAATGAAGAAAGCTTGTCATTCCAGAATGTGCCCATGGAGAAGCCGCCTTTGCCAAATACATCTCCCCAAGGAACAAACCACCTGATAGAAGACTTTGCTTCTTTGTGGCATTCTGGTCGCTCTCCCACAGCCATGCCCGAGCCCTGGGGAAATCCTACAGATGATGGTGAACCAGCAGCTGCGGCGCCATTCCCAGCCTGGAGTGCGTTTGGTAAGGAAGATCATGCTGAAGCGTTAAAAAATACCTGGAATTTGCACCCAACAAGTGGCGAGACACCTTCTGTTAGGGACCCGAATGAGTGGGCCATGGCAAAAGGTGGATTTGTCTTTTCTTCTTCAGAACTACTGGACAATTCACCCAGTGAGATAAATGAAGCAGCTCCAGAAATCTGGGGCAAGAGGAACAATGACTCCAGGGATCACATCTTTGCACCTGGAAATCCCAGTTCTGATCTGGATCATACATGGACTAATTCTAAGCCACCAAAAGAAGATCAGAATGGTTTAGTGGATCCTAAAACTAGGGGCAAAGTATATGAAAAGGTAGATTCCTGGAACCTTTTTGAGGAGAGTATGAAGAAAGGAGGGTCAGACGTCCTAGCTCCTTGGGAAGATTCCTTCTTATCTTACAAATGCTCTGATTACAGTGCATCCAACCTAGGAGAAGATTCGGTGCCATCCCCCTTAGATACCAATTACTCCACCTCAGACTCTTACACATCACCAACATGTGCTGGAGACGAAAAGGAAACTGAACACAAGCCATTTGCTAAAGAGGAAGGTTTTGAGTCAAAAGATGGTAACTCCACGGCAGAGGAGACTGACATTCCACCTCAGTCACTGCAACAGCCATCTCGAAATCGAATCAGTTCAGGTCCTGGGAACCTAGACATGTGGGCTTCACCTCATACAGATAACAGTTCTGAAATAAATGCCACTCACGACCCGGATGAAAATGAACTCAAGACAGAGCACACAGATGGTAAGAATGTCTCCATGGAGGAGGACGTGGGGGAAAGCAGCCAGTCCAGTTACGATGACCCCAGCATGATGCAACTGTACAATGAAACAAACCGACAACTCACACTTTTGCACAGCAGCACCAACTCCCGGCAGACAGCGCCTGACAGTCTCGACTTGTGGAACAGAGTGATTTTGGAGGATACGCAGTCCACAGCAACGATCTCAGATATGGACAATGATTTGGACTGGGATGACTGCAGCGGGGGTGTGGCACTCCCCAGTGACGGTCAAACAGAAGGATACATGGCTGAAAGTACCGAGCCAGAAACCCGATTTACAGTGAGACAGCTGGAACCCTGGGGCTTGGAGTATCAGGAGGCAAATCAGGTAGATTGGGAGCTCCCTGCCTCTGATGAGCATACCAAGGACAGTGCTCCCAGTGGACATCACACACTGAATGAGAAAAGTGGGCAGCTAATTGCAAACAGTATTTGGGATTCTGTCATGAGAGATAAAGACATGTCATCGTTCATGTTACCAGGTTCCTCATATCTCACAGATTCAGAGCAAAGCGAATTGCCTTCTGAAATCCCCAGCCATTCAGCAAATGTTAAAGACACTCACTGCCCAGATGCGCCAGCAGCTTCTGGAACCAGTGAGTCAGGGGTACTTATATCTCATCTTGACAACCAGGAGACAGAGAGAGAAACCCTGCAAAGTGATGCAGCATCCTTGGCGACTAGGCTTGAGAATCCAGGGCATTTTGCACACCCAGATCCATGGAAAGGTCGTAGCAATGGACAAAGTGAAAGTGAGAAGGAAGCCCAGGGAGCCACTAACAGGGAGCACCTCGATGAAGAGGAGGTGATCGCCTCTGGTGTGGAGAGTGCCTCAGGGATTTCTGAAAAAGGGCAGAGTGACCGGGAACTGTCTTCTCTGGTTGCATCTGAACATCAGGAAATCTGCGTTAAATCAGGCAAAATCAGCTCTCTTGCAGTCACTTTCAGTCCTCAAACCGAGGAACCAGAGGAAGTTTCCGAGTGTGAGAAGGGGTCTCACAATCTAGACTCCCGTGATGTGCAAACAGGGATGTCTGCAGATAACCTGCGGCCAAAAGACACCTATGAACAGCACCTCATGAGTCAGAGAAATTCAGGTGAAACTACTGAGACTTCAGATGGGATGAATTTCCCAAAATATGTATCTGTACCAGAAAAGAATCTTGAGAAAACTGAAGAATATAACATTCTAGAGCCAGAGAATGTGGGTGGAAGGGGACCTCACAAAGTTCCCCGAGGCCTTGACTTTGGGGATGCTCCTGTAGACAGTGTCGTGCATGTCAGCTGCACAAGTTCCGAGATAACCAAAAATCTTGACGTTAAGGGGACTGAAAATAGCCTTCCAGGAGCCAGTTCATCTGGAAATTTTGACAGAGATACTATTTCTAGTGAGTATACTCATTCAAGTGCATCAAGTCCTGAGTTAAATGATTCTTCAGTTGCGCTGTCTTCCTGGGGCCAGCAACCCAGTTCTGGGTATCAGGAAGAGAACCGAGGTAATTGGAGTGAACAGAATCACCAAGAATCTGAACTAATTACCACTGATGGCCAAGTAGAAATAGTTACCAAAATGAAGGATTTAGAGAAAAACAGAACAAATGAGTTTGAAAAGAGTTTGGATCGCAAAACTCCTACATTTTTAGAGATCTGGAATGACTCGATTGATGCTGATTCCTTGTCCTCTTTGTCTAGTCCTGAAACAGGCAGATATTCTGAGCATTCAGGGACACGTCAGGAAAGCAATCTCATCGCTAGCTACCAGGAGAAAAATGAACATGACATTTCTGCAACTGTGCAGCCAGAGGATGCCAGGGCCATTTCAACAAGCTCAGGTTCTGACGATGACAGTGTCGGTGGTGAAGAGTCAGTGGAGGAAGAGATCCAGGCGGCCAACTGCCACGTTGCTCAGGATGAATCCAGGGCTTGGGAGTCACTGAATGAATCGAATAAGTTCTTGGTCACAGCTGATCCTAAGTCTGAAAATATTTATGACTACCTAGGCAGCTCAGAGCCAGCAGAGAATGAGAGTAAGTCAAACCCATTCTGTGACAATCAGCAAAGCAGCCCTGATCACTGGAATTTCTCACCGTTAACGGAGACTGAAACACAGATTCCAGCAGTGGAGAAGGAGATGAGATCTTCTCCAGAAACAGGGAAGACAGGAGATGTTGCATGGCAAATATCTCCCAAAGCTGAACCAAAGAACGAAGATAATTCTCAACTGGAAATGCTGGGCTTCTCAGCTGATAGCACTGAGTGGTGGAATGCCTCACCCCAGGAAGGGAGACTAATTGAGAGTACATTTGAAAGAGAGCTGTCTGATCCCAGTGATGTGTTGGAGATAAATTCTTCCGTATATCAAAATGCCAGTCCCTGGGGAGTACCAGTTCAGAATGATATTGAGCCCGTGGAAACACACTATGCTAATCCTTTTAGTGACAACCATCAGTCACCCTTCCTGGAAGGTAATGGGAAGAACTCCCATGAGCAACTCTGGAACATTCAACCAAGGCAGCCAGACCCAGATGCTGACAAATTCAGCCAGCTTGTAATATTGGACCAAATCAAAGAAAAGGACTCAAGAGAGCAAACCTTTGTGTCTGCTGCTGGCGATGAGCTGACTCCTGAAACACCGACCCAGGAGCGGCATCGGGACGCCATGCTGTCAGTCTGCAATCAGCCAGATGCAGGCTTTACTCATGCAGAGGAAAATGGTTGTGTTACATCTAATGTTTCAACAAATGAAGGTCAAGAAACAAATCAGTGGGAACAAGAAAAATCATACCTGGGTGAGATGACACATTCAAGCATTGCCACAGAAAATTTTCCTGCTGTCAGTTCTCCCACCCAACTGATAATGAAGCCAGGCTCTGAATGGGATGGCTCTGCCCCAAATGAGGACTCCCAAGGTACATTTGTGCCAGATATTTTACATGGCAACTTTCAAGAGGGTGGGCAGCTGGCCTCTGCCGCGCCTGACTTGTGGGTGGATGCTAAGAAGCCCATCAGTTTGAAAGCAGATGGTGAGAATCCTGATATCCTGACACATTGCGACCACGACAGCAATTCTCAGGCTTCCAACAGCCCTGATATATGTCACGATTCTGAAGCGAAGCAAGACACTGAGAAGCACCTCGGTGCTTGCATGAGACCTGAAGTGGAATCCAGTGAGCTTTGTCTCACTGAGCCAGAGATGGATAAAGAACCCATTCATGAGCCTGGACAGGAGTTTGTCCCATCCAATGCAGAACTCGATTCTGAAAACGCAACTCCGCTGCCTCCAATTGGCAATCAGGCAGACATAAAGGGCTCCTCTCAGCCCGCCTCTCATAAAGGTTCACCTGAACCTTCTGAAATAAATAGTGATGACAATACAGATTTACAAGCATCAGAAAAAGGAGCCAGCCCAGATATGGCACCAATTTTGGAACCAGTTGACAGAAGAATCCCAAGGATTGAAAATGTGGCAACTAGCATTTTTGTAACTCACCAAGAGCCAACTCCGGAAGGCGACAGTTCTTGGTTATCAGACAGCTTTTCTCCTGAAAGTCAGTCTGGTGCAAGAGCTTTGTTTGATGGTGAGCCACGTTTATCCACAGAGAATCCTGCCATGGTTCCTGATGCTTTGCTAGCCTCAGACACTTGTCTGGATATAAGCGAAGCTGCCTTTGACCACAGTTTCAGCGATGCCTCAGGTCTCAACACATCCACGGGAACGATAGATGACATGAGTAAACTGACATTATCCGAAGGTCATCCTGAAACGCCAGTTGATGGGGACCTAGCGAAGCAAGATATCTGCTCATCCGAAGCCTCGTGGGGTGATTTTGAATACGATGTAATGGGCCAGAATATCGATGAAGATTTACTGAGAGAGCCTGAACACTTCCTGTATGGTGGTGACCCTCCTTTGGAGGAAGATTCTCTGAAGCAGTCGCTGGCACCATACACACCTCCCTTTGATTTATCCTATCTCACAGAGCCTGCCCAGAGTGCTGAAACAATAGAGGAAGCTGGGTCTCCAGAGGATGAGTCTCTGGGATACAGAGCAGCAGAGATAGTGCTTTCTGCGCTTCCTGATAGAAGAAGTGAGGTAAACCAGGCTGAGACCAAAAACAGACTGCCTGGATCCCAGCTGGCTGTGCTGCATATTCATGAAGACCCTGAGTCCGTTTATTTGCCTGTAGGAGCAGGCGCCAACATTTTGTCTCCATCAAGCACTGACTGGGAAGTAGAAACAGATAATTCTGATTTACCAGCAGGTGGAGACATAGGACCACCAAATGGTAAGAAACATCCCATTCTTCCACCTCCAAGAAACCACTGCGTTAATTAAACTAGTGAATATTTGTAAGACACACTCTTCCTACCAATGAGGGTAGAGAGGAACTAACTACATTTGCAAGGAATGCCTCACCAAGTCCTGTATTATAACAGCAGTAAAAACTAATGCATATATAGTACCTATCCCTGATAGTGCACAAGAAAATCAAATGACTCTACAAAATAAAAATATTTTCTAACTGGGCACAAGGGCTCACACCTGTAATCCCAGCACTTTGGGAAGCCAAGGAGGGTGGATCACCTGATGTCAGGTGTTCGAGACCAGTCTGGCCAGCATGGTGACAGCCCGTCTCTACTAAAAATACAAAAATTAACTGGGTGTGGTGGCGGCCGCCTGTAGTCCCAGCTACTCGGGAGGCTGAGGCAGGAGAATAGCTTGAAACCAGGAGGTGGAGGTTGCAGTGAGCTGAAATCACACCATTGCACTCCAGCCTGGGTGCTGGAGCGGGACTCTGTCTCAAATAAATAAATAAATAATATAAAAAATAAAAACATTAAGTTACCTCTTTTAGATGATCATTTGCAAGGATAACAAATCGCACAATGTGTTCATTAAACCTTGTTCTCCTCTTCTCACTTTCAACTTCCACTTCTAGGTGACAGCAAGGAAATATCAGAATTGGAAGAAGAAAAAGTAATTCCTACCAAAGAGCCTGAGCAGATAAAATCAGAATACAAGGAAGGCAGATGTACAGAGAAGAATGAAGATCGTCATGTACTACACATGGATTACATACTTGTAAACCATGAAGAAAATTTACATTCAAAGCCAGAGGCCCGTGAAGAAAGAGAAAGCATAGCTGAATTAGAATTGTATGTAGGTTCCAAAGAAACAGGGCCGCAGGGAACTCAGTTAGCAAGCTTCCCAGACACATGTCAGCCTGCCTCCTTAAATGAAACAAAAGGTATCTCTGCAGAGAAAATGTCTTCTAAAGGCGATACGAGATCATCTTTTGAAAGCCCTGCACAAGACCAGAGTTGGATGTTCTTGGGCCATAGTGAGGTTGGTGATCTATCATCAGGGCCTGGGTGGTCTGGCAAGACTGTGGAGCCATTCTCTGAACTCAGCTTGGGCGAGGGTCCCCAGCTGCAGATTCTGCAAGAAATGAAGCCTCTAGAATCTTTAGCACTAGAGGAAGCCTCTGGTCCAGTCAGCCAATCACAGAAGAGTAAGAGCCGAGGCAGGGCTGACCCGGATGCAGTTATGTTGCAGGCTGTCACCCATGACAGTGAATGGGAAATGCTTTCACCACAGCCTGCTCAGAAAACCATGATCCGTGACACGGAAATGGAGGAGGAGACAGAGTTCCTTGAGCTCGGAACCAGGAAACCAAGACCACATGGGTAAGCAGAAAGCTAGATTTATTTATTTTTGCCTGAAAAGCAATTTATTTAGAAACCTGGGGAATGGTTAGAGGTTATGGAATATGAAGAATACTTGGATGATAGCAGCTTTGCTTATATTGAATGCCAGGCACACCATCAGTAAAAGCAGCTACTAGGTAACTATTACTATAATGATGATTTATGTACATTTTCAGTCAAAAAGCCCCTTCAATTTTCATACCTACCCCCCAACTGCCACCCCACCTACTTGAATACCTACATGACTCTTAAACAGGCAGTTGGGAATACAAGGGAATGACACTAACATTTAATCAGCACCTACTATGTGCGAGGCAGTTTGCATATATTACCTCATTTAATCCTAACATGCCAGTGCGGAGAATGGAAGGGATGGGGTTGAGTAGGGGGATTCAAGGCTCAGAAAGTTTCTATAACTTGCCTAGAATTAAGTAACCAGAGTGAACACTCTGGGATTCAAAGCTTGCCACCTCCAAAGCCTTAGCATACAGAAAAGTCATTTTCTGGTTTTATGTAAGCACCTAATTTATCATTGGAGACAGAGAGACTCCATAGGCTTCTCCAAATCTCAGTGTAAAACATTCATTCCCTAATTGGCAGAGAAATTGGCAAACTGTCACCAAATCAGTGATTCAGTCATTCATTCACTCATTCATTCATTCATTCATTCACCATGTGGTTTTTGAGAGCTTGCTCTGTGCCATGGTCCGGGTAGCCAATGGGCATATATCAGGGAATAGGATGTCATCGCTGCCCTCAAGCTGCCAGTCTCTGCTAAAACTGTTTAGCATTCTTCATTTCTCTTCATTTGTGTTTATGAAGCCCTCCTGCTTCCAGGGACAAAAGAACAAATTGTGAAAAATAACTTAAGTAAAGGGGAAAGTCATGTTTCCTCCTTGAAATGTAACAGAGAAAAGATATCGGCCAGGCACGGTGGCTCACACCTGTAATCCCAACACCTTGGAAGCCCAAGGTGAGTGGATCCCTTGAGGTCAGGAGTTTGAGACCATCCTGGCCATCATGGTGAAACCCCGTCTCTACTAAAAATTCAAAAATTAGCCAGGAGTGGTGGCAGCACCTGTAATCCCAGTTACTTGGGAGGCTGAGACAGGAGAATCACTTGGACCTGGGAGGTGGAGGTTGCAGTGAGCCAAGATCGTGCCACTGCCCTCCAGCCTGAGCGACAGAGCCAGACTCTGTCTCAAAAAAAAAAAAAAAAAAAAAAAAGGGAGAAAAGATATCTTTTTTTTTCCTACTCAGCGTGGGAATATAAAGGACTATACATACCACTTACCCACAGTGAGTCAAAGAATCTGGATTCCAGCCTGGATCTACCATGACTGATTATACATTTTAGGATTAATCCCAGGCTTAGGTTTTCTCATCCGTAAAATTAGTGAGTTGGGCTGAAAAATCTCAAGCCTTTGTGCAGTATTAAATTCTGGGAACTTAATTTGTGTGGAAACAGAATGTGTCTAGGAGAGCTTTGGCATTCACAAATTACATTTCTTGATGAAAGGAACAAGGACAATGGAAAGAATAGCTGGGGTATGTTGAGGGTTAGCAAAGTGCAGAAGGGGTTAAAAGCTCTACCATATTCCAGGGCAGCTTCATAAATCCAGACGTTGTCAGCTGGCCTAATCCTTCTTTCTTCCTGTCAAGCTATTTTCTTCCAGAGAGACCTCAGATCCGTTATCAGAAAGCGAGTAGCAGATGGATCCCAGCAGCCCTGCTGGCATTGTTATAGATTGAGCTCAGAACTCAGGCAGCCATGAGTTGGCTAAGCTATTGTTTGGCTTCTTGTCTGCATTTTGCACACGCCCCTGAGATCCAATAGATGACAGTCGGTGTTCAATTGTGCCACCAGTACCTTTTCTTTCAACACGATTTCTTTGCTCATCCCTTTCCGCTCAGCTTTCGTAGTACTGAAACTTTCCTCACAATGGGGATGGGGCAGATTTTCGCTCCGGCATGTGTATTATCTTTTGCATAAACAATTTACTCTGAATGTGTAAGTCTCCCTCTGTGCTAGATTTTCGGAGAAGAAAGAGTTGTCTAAAACAGTGGTTCTCTAAGTGGGGTCCTAAGAACGGCAGCATCAGTATCACCTGAGTGCTTGTTAGAAATGCAAATTATCGGCCACAACTCAGACCTGCGGAATCAGAAACTCTGGGGGTGAGGCCCAGTCAGCTGAGCTTCAGCAGCTCCTGGTGCCCTCCAAAGCTTGAGAACCACTGGTTTAAAACATACTGTCAGTCGTCTAGCAGTTTACAATTTCATTAAAAAGTTAGACATAAGTAAAAAGGTAGATAGCAGTGTAATATTTAAGTCAAGCTAGTCAAAGCCCAGTGTCAGTTTAAGTATAAAATAGGTACCAACTATGGAGGGGCATTTAGCCGTAGACCGGGTGCTAAACACTCTGTGTGCACTGTTTCACTTTATAACGGCAACCTTGCGAGACATGAGTTACACAAGTGAGGAAATAAGAGGAGAGACGTCTGTTTCGGGCACCTTTATGGAGCAGGCAGCAGGAATCGCTTATTCTCTGTCAGACACAGGAGACAGAGTGCCCAGGGCCCATGATACTTTAAGGAGCCCATGAGAATATTTTCTTTTATAATCAGAAGAAAAAGTTATTGTACTTTCACGTGGATTACATTTTGTCTTTATACCAACAACGTTATAAAATAAACTTTTAAAAAATGTTTTAATGACAGAAGGGGCTTATGAGGGCAGAAGTGCCTAGGGCCCATGAAGTCGTACTGCAGCTCTGAGAGGTACATTTAAAACAGTCACTAAAGGAAAGGTCACACTTTGGGAAAGCGAAGAAGAGGGTAAGAAGCTAGCTGAGTGAACTGGGATGAGTACTATGAAGGAAGTCATGGAGACAGGAAGGTCATCACAGAAGCAAAACAACGAGATAGCTGTGGTTTCCCAAACAAAAACCTGGAAATATCTCTGATGCATAATCTGATCCTAGAACAGGAGATCCAAAATCAAGACCATTCTGCAAAAAAGAAAATTAAGAAAGGTTCTTCTTAAATAGAGATAGGTTCATAGTATGTGCAATATGACTCACCAGTTGTAAATCAGCTTCTCCCCTCCCCTCCTCAGCCTCAGCCTCTCTCAACTCCCAAACTGTTTTGAGAGCTGCAAGCCACATTTTCAAAGTCTGAGAAAGCATGAGAAAAATGCCTTTTCTCCTCCTATGCCACCTACTGACTCTTGTTAACAAAAGTTGTTACTAGGACTGAAAGATAGCCTCTCTCCCTTGAGATCTGCAGCACTGCTTCACGTTCCCTACGATCAGTCTTTTCAGAATCCTTTGCCAACACCTTGGTCATCCTCCAGCTGTAGACCTGTCCAGCAGGGGATCAAATACCAGTTCCCCAAGACAGTGATGGATGTGCCTGATCTTTCCTACGTAGTCACAAAGAATATTTGCAGGAGAATCTGTAGCACACAAACCTTTCTTAAAGGAAGAAACACTTAGCTGTTTATTTTAAAGAAAGCATGGTTGGAAGAATGATGTGTGAAGAAGGGGGTAAGCTGGTTACACGTTAGAGTTTTTCAGAAAAACAGAACAAATAGGAGATATCTGTATTTATATCTCCATCTTGCTATCTAGCTACTGAGAGAATTTTAAGGAATTGGCTCATGTGATTATGAGGGCTGGCAAGTCTGAAGTCTGTAGGGCAAGCTGGCAGCCTGGAAACTCAAGCAAGAGTCAGCACTGCAGTCGTGAATGTGAGTTCTGCAGGGCTGCAGGCTGGACACGCAGGCAGGTTTCTGGGCTGCAGTCTTCAGGAGAATTCCTTCTTCTTCAGAAAACGTCAGACTTTGCTATTAAGACCTTCATCTGATTGGATGAAGGCTCCTCACATTATGGAGGGTAATTTGCTTTACTCAAAGTCTGCTGACTTCAATGTTAATCACATCTAAAAAAATACTTTTACAACAACATCTAAACTGGTGTCTGACCAAATCACTAGGTATCATAGCCTAGCCAAGTCAAAACGTAAACATTAACTCTCACAGGTTATAGCAAAAAATCTGATCTATATGTTAAACAAGGATTAAGTCATTAAAATTTTAAAAGTCACTATCTGAATTATATGAAAATGTGACAATCAATATGCAAATATATTGGCTTTCCATAGATATAAGCAAAGAAATAATATGCAAGGGAATAAAAGAAAATCATTTCCAAGAGGACTGAGAAAACGGATGATACTCAACTGATGAATCTTCGGGAGATGCAGGCAGCTGTGGGGGATGGAGGATGGGGAGGAGGGGAGGAGAAGAGAGGAAATCGTTGTCTCGTGTACTTTTGAAACAGTGTTTAGACATAACCTGACCCTCGTATTTGTGGAGCTGTATCTTGTTTCCTAGCTCTGTGAGGTGAGGTATTCAGTATTCCCTGAAATAAAGACGACCTTCAGACACAGTGTCTTTGGTTCTCTGGTGATCTGTCTGCATCCTTTCTTTTTAAGTTTGTAATTTTTCACCTTTTTTTCCCATCTGATAACACTAGAGAAAAGAATTTATCTTTCTGCTTGTGAGTGACACCGTGAGATCTTTTTGTTTTTCGTGAAATCAGGCTTTTTCTGTATATGACTTACAGTTGGGGAGTTAGTACATTGGGTCTTTTATCCACGTGAATGTTGAAAATCAGAAATAGATTTAAAAATCGGTTGACTCTTTCTCTCACTGTTGGGTAACGGGAACTCTGAGAAGCATCAGGCCGACCAAGCGTACCCCACTTCTGAACATTTGCCGTTTCTCAGAGATGAGTTGATGCTCTCTGAACTCCAGTGCGCCCTTGCTTATTCACCGTTTTTGGGCTTTGCCCTGTACCAAACCTGGAAGAACAAACTTAGCACTGACTCTGTGCTCATTTATTTTTGTAATTATATTTGATCCGTTGGTGCTGTGTGTTGTTGAGTTGGTGGTGATAAGTATCATTAAAAGTCCTTTGC